ACATGTTGCACATGAATTACTCGAAACTGGAAACGTTGGAAACTCCGATCTCGAGATCTGAAAGCTCCGGCGCTCGCATTCAATGCCATGCAGACGTGTGGTTTAATCAACGAACTGAGATGCAAACTCCTGCTTCCATTACATGATATTAATATGCGATATTCACTAATGGGATATTTTCAATACGCAAAGACACGAGTATATAGCGCCATTTTAAAGTGGATTGTCGCATTCATATTTTTGATCAATTTAACGCCGGTTTTTAATAGTCCTGAGTGTGTTTTTGCGCGTTTTATTGCATTATACATGGTTTCACACATGTGGAAATGAAGAGCGCTTACACTGGCTAGCGTGAAACAATAGTGTTCAAAATGGCCGCCGCACCGCAAAGCCATTACGTCGCCATTTGCCAGTTTGCTGGTTCCGCGGTGCGCTTCTTTTGCGTTTTCGCATATCTCGACGCTTGCTTTTCTCCACCGCCGCCGTCGCATGTATGGAGTGCGAAACAGTCGAAACGCTCGAAATTTGTGTGTATATTAAAAGCGTTAATGCATTAAAGTGCATTTAATTTGTTCGCCTGTTTTTAATGGTGCGCCTTTTCTCGCCCGACGCGATACACAAAACCATCTGCGTATTGTTTGAATAATTTTCTTTTATCAAACTGTTAGATTCCATAATTTTTCTTAATATACCAAATACATTTCTACCTCCTTTCAAGTAATAATAAAAAGTTACATCATGCTTAAAATTATTAAAATTTGCTTTCAAAATTTCAGTTTTTTTGCAAATTTGTATCACGCTTGTACTTATATATTTTTTAGTGATTAAATAATTTTTTAAATATAAAATATTTATTGATTAAAATTACAACGTGATTTTTGGATTTACACAGTTTTTGTTGAGTTTAACATGTTTCGCCCAGAGGGCATCTTCATAAACTTTATGAAGATGCCTCTGGGCGAAACATGTCAACTCAAAATAAAATTGTAAATCCAAAATCACGTATAATGTTTAATAAATAAATATTTTTATATTTAAAAAATAACATGGATTACGTATTCACCAAAGAAAGTAATAGATTAAATAATTCTAAACATACTGTATAATGCATATGACTGCAGCAAGCGATGCGTCCCACCATAATTTTCAACATTTTCACCGGAATTGTAAAACCTTTGATGCACGACACTCGCATCCATGAAAGCTCGCGTCGGTGAATTTTTTTGCCAAACATTTTGTTTCATATTTATTGTAATAAAGAGAATGCGCACATTGCACACGTCAGTCGAAAATGTAACACGTAAAACATTAAAAGTTAAAACTCTACAACATTTAAACATAAATAATATCCACACATATTTTTTTATTGTAGCAACAAAAAAAAATTATTTATTTCACACTTTTACTCACTCCAACGCGTGTGAGAGTTCTGTAAGCACCAAAAATCAGCTGACAGGATGATTTCACACGTTCGTAAATAACTCCTCGTCTCTCTTCACTTCGTTTTTTTAAATGTTTTTCACTCGTGTTTTAATGTTGGCTCGTTTTTAATCGACCTTTGGGACTTTTTCCTCTCTGGAGCTGGTTTTTGTCTCTTCGGCTGTGCGCTCGCAGCGAAATTTGTTAAAAATTACAAAGCAATACGACGTTATCTCGTATAAAAGTGGAACATGCGTTCGTCGGGCTTCGCGCCGTGCTGAAAGTCGCGACGGCAAAAACAGGGCCTAAGCTTGAATGATGAGCTTTTTTTGTTGTTCTCACTCAATTTTTCATATGCTCTTCATCGCGCTGCGCGGTGCGTGCGAGCGCAAACAACGTATAATGCGAGCCGTCCACGTTATTAAACATTCGAAAGCACGTCGTGGGTCTGAAGTCGCAGTACGCTGAAGCAAATTGTAAAAAATGTCTTTTCAGGCAAATGAGGCGACCCACCAACGTTTTCAACCTTCTAAACATCTTCAACATCATCTGCTCGTATATTTTCTTGTTTTCACTTGCACTTCATATTCTATTGAACTTTTTTTCTGTGTAATTAAAACAAAAATTTAATATTTTTGTGTTGTTTTGTTTCTTTTTTCGAGAGGAAGTAGGAGTGTGTGGTGTGATGAGTTATGCGCGCCGTGATGTGAGGCGGAAGAGATGGAGAGCGTTTACGGTTTATTGAAGGAGAAGCAGCCGCCTCCGACGCCGCCATGTTGGCGATTTACGATTTCCGGCAAGCACGCGACGCGAGCGCCAAAACGCGCCGCGTAAATCGCGAACTTGTTGGCCCGGAACGTACGAGTTTTTAACAGATAGCTCATTTGTCACCGGCATAACCGTCATGCGGCCAACCGACCAAAAACTTGCACCCGCCACCCCTTTTCCCAAAAAACACCTCGAGAGGAAAAACCTATGAAAACTTATGAACATCACGACGCTTCAATAAGGTGAGAAAGTTCAGTTTTTCAACTTTTTCATCAAAAATACTAAAAAAAAAATAAAATTTAAAAATAAATTATACCTACTATATCCACGCATATAAAATTTTAACAAGGGATAATAACTTCTTTACTAATAAGTAGAACAAGTACAATTTTGTGCATATCGTATATTACGTTCATTAACAATTCATTAACGCGCGGTGGCCATTAATTAACGACCGCCGGATCTATGCAACGTGTCTTTGTAAAATTTTCCGAAGCGTAGAAAACCACGCTGAGTCCTCTAAACATTGAGACAAAGCACCATAACCTATATTATCATCCGTCAACCCTCGCTGGTACCATCACAGACTGAGTGTGTTTTATCATAGTTTCAGCTAGACGAGATTCTACTGCAATCCAACAATAGGCTTTCGTTACAAGTATACACGACCATTTCGATGCGGCATTAATAATGCACACGAATTCACAAAGCCTGATAGAGACGTGAAAAGAGTGGCAACCGGGGGTCTGAAAATAGGTTATATCTCACTGAACGAACAGTCACAAACGGAATGTTTAATGTGTTAGTTTTAAACTCATATTTTCGATCCGAAAACATTAAATCCAACATTTAATACTAAGTAGTTATAAAAATATATTATAAAATCACACATTTTAGATGTGAAAATAAATTCTCGATAAATTATTGCAGCACCGGATCTGTTTTACGTCTGTAACTGTGCGAAAACATATTAAAACATAAATTTATGCTCGGAACACTTTGATTGTTTTGATGCTCTCTCAACAGGAAAAATAAACATTTCACTATCGAATATTTAGCAATCTGGGAAACATGTAAACGATAAATTAACGCTTTCACAATCTTGTCAGAGTATGAAGCATCGCACTCCGATAAATCTTCCTTTGGCTTTCCACAGATCTGAGCTTTTGTTATTGCGCATGCATTGTTGTTGTTCGACCAGTAGTAATCAGCTTTATTACCTCTTCTTAACGTATGCAACCATACGCGCACAACAATGATATATTTGTTTAATCTTAATACAATATCAATGGCATGTGTGTGGACGTTGGTGACTTGTGTTTACCTGGATTGTGTAACTGCTCGACGCTAATGAAGCCGTCCATTCCCCTGACTTCAGCGCCGTCTATTGTCTCGATCGCAAAGCTGCACACAATGGACGTCGGGACTTGTGGTTAGGTTGAATCGAACACTAAAGGAAACCTGTTGCGCCCTCTGTTGCGTATTATATCCGCGAGTTTTGTATTTGCTCGCGCCGTGTTTATTTTGCAAGTCGTTTTACGCTCGAATTCGCACGCTTTTAAACGTTTTCCATTTTCCGCGCACGAGATGTGTATTTTCTTGGCTTCGAGGTCGATCAACCTGAGACGCACATTCGGCGCGTTTCGCACAATGTGCATATTTTCATTACGAACCGCAGTCTGAATAATATCAGCGAACTGTGACTGCACTTTTTAATATAAATCGCGCGACGTTAAATATCGAATAAAAATATGCAAATAATGACTGAAATATTTCATATCGACATTTCTATGTCTTCGTATTCTTAGGTTTTATATAATACGGTATTGTTGCTCGATGATGGCGCATGAAGTTTTACGTCGCACTAAAAAAACGTTTTACGTTTGCGTGCGTCGAAATTTTCGCAAAAATAAATCAGCGCTAAGCAAATTATACTAGATTTGGTGGCAGCGTTTTATAACGTTCAATAAACCGAAAACGTATTCCGACGTTTTGTTGTTATTGTGGCGTAAAACAGGCAAATACATCTAAAACGCATAATAAAAAAGATGCGCAAAACTTCGTGAACATACGTTTTCCGATTTTTGATGAGAAGTCGAATTTGAAACGTAAATAAATCTGCAAATTGCAATTGTATACTCGTATAATGCAATACCGACGGTCAACATCAATTTTTTGCATTCATTATCTTTCCCGCTATTTGACGCTCCTTTTAAGAAATATTTTTGCAATAAAAAGTAGTCTATGTTATTCTCCAAAGTCTTAACTATTTCTGTACCAAAATTTATAAAAATTGTTTGAATAGTTTTTGCGTAATTGCGTAACAAACAAACACTTGCATTTATTACATTATTAAAGAATAAATACATTCATTCATCATCACCTCCTCTAAATATTTGTTTCACGCCTGTTTTCATAATTGAATTCACTACCAGTACCAGCTTAATGTGTACGTCTACTAAATTCCCTTCTAAATATAATTTTTATAGTTCACGCACCCTCCCCGAGCCCGGGCGATCATAAACCAGCATTAACTCGCCTCAATGTTTCTTTTCTCCTTCATTAAGCCCGAAAACATCACGCGGCGTGATGATATTATAAAGTCACAAATTAAATATTTACATATTTATCTCTGCATCTTCATCTCGCGCCTTCAATCTTTGTGAACTTTGGCGTCGACTGTTGACTTTCGACTTTCGGCGTGGAAAACTCGAACACGCACGTATTGGGCCGGCTTGTTGTGTTGCTTCTGCTCACGGTTGACTATAAATACGCCGCGAAAATAAAACAGCGCGCCCGTACGCGACAAACTAGAAGATGGCCAACTCCTGGCATCTCGGGAAGCTCAAACGGGAGCTTTTCTGGTCGCGCGCGGTGGACTTTTAAGTCCGCTTAGTTTCACCGCGAACGCTCGACGCGCATCATGCCGCGCACGCTCAGCCGACTTAACAAAAACCATATCAAAATTTTCGTTTAAACAAACGTGAAACGTGCGAAAATAAAATTTTGTGTAAAAATTCACTTGGTGATGGGTTAGTGTAAAAGTGTCAAGTGTGTAAATCGTAATTTGTGCGAAAATATGCGCCTGGGAAACGGATATCTATACTTAACTTTGGCGGCTGTTGTCCACACGGCGCTTGCCTACTCACATGCGGACTTTCAGAAAGGTAAAGCGCGCTCATTTTCGAACGATGACTCATTCCCCGGCGACAGAAATATCTCTCGAAATCAACCACTTTTGAGAAAACCAAGAGAAACACTCGAAAGAATCCGAAGCAATTTGATTTATTATCCGCACGCACACGACACAAAAAAGCGAAAAATTTCCACCGCCCGGATGAGAATCGTTAACTTCGCGTACCTGAAGATAACACCAGCGTGTTCATTTAAATCATTAATTATTTTTGTGTTCCACCTCAACACAGAGAGGTAATAATAGATTGCGGAGCAGATAGTTTGACGTGTGACGTGCCAACGAAATTGAAAATCACCTCTATTCCATCAATTAGCAGCGCTGAGTGCATTTCTCGATACCCGCTGTTTGTCTAATGAGGACTTATAATTATTAAACCTATAAATACCGCATCATAGTAAATTTTTGACACAAAATAAGGGAACAATCTAAGTCTAAGTTGTAATAATCGATTTTTAACTCATAACTCGCCCTTATGTTTAACTACAGCCAGAAACAAGAAGAATTAAAAGCCCTGTACGATTGTATCTCATTGTGTAATTTGTACTCGGAGTAAAATAGTTGGAATTAGTTGCAGTGACACGAGTATTTTTGCGGAGTGGAAAACGATCCATCTTCATTGATCATATCTCGTGCCGGCGGCATTATGCTAATTAAAATCAATTTGCCACGCGAGTTTTGTGTACAACACGTAAATCTACTCAAAGAACACAATTTCGGTTGTGCAGTAGCAAAATTTTAAGCAATATTCTTAGAAACTTTGCGCGTCGGTGTAGGAAAACTTTAAATAAAAGTGTTAATTTTGTATGACCGGAAATAAGTACTTCAGATCGCGTGTTACATCATTGTTAATGTCTCGTCAAGTTTGGCCGAGTTTTCAAGATTCACTCCACATACACTTACGATGTTTACGATGTGTTTAGGCATCGTTTATTTTATCTCAAGTGTAAATTATTTATGGACAAATATTTTTGCAATTTTTCAGCTTGAAAATGTGTAATTTGTATGAATTCTATAAAATTGGCATTCAAAATACGCAGAAATTATTAAAACGATGCCAATTTGTAACACGCTCAAGTTAAGTTAACTTAACTCGCGATATATTCGCAGCTTTTAATTTATTTACTTCGTTTTGGATGATTATTTATTTACATCGCAAAAAATATGTTGAAATGAAGTAAAGTTTTGCGTGAAAACATAAATAGCACTGCGGCCACGGTGGATAATCGCGGTGCTAGCCAATGAAGTACTTAAACGCACTTAAACGATATTATTGCGATTATTGTGCTAATGAGCGGTACGACAAACGCTCCGCATGCACGCTTCGCACGCAATCGCAACACTTTCTTTGTACGCCTCACCAGTGCAAGCCATTTGGTGCATGTGCTGCTGTTCGTTTTGTGTTTGAATGCAAAATGTGCAAAACCTGCGTTTAAGTATGTATAATGTTTCAGTAGTGTTTCAGCGGTGGGATTCGACGTGTGCGACCGGACATAAGTTTAAACTTACACCATAAAAATCTCAAAATAAAAGTAAAGCATTTTAGAAGCAGAAAATGAGTTCGTGGACATGCGCCCCGGTAATATTTACAGTTTTATTGTATTTTAAGTCGCGAATATTTGCAAAATTGTGTCTCGAAATAAAAATATAAAATTAACTCATAGATGAGTACATTTGTTCACTTCGGTCACGCAGGTTCTAACAATAGTACCATGTGCTTCGAATGAGTTCCAAGTGTTTTCAAGAGTTTTTTCTACGGATTCCTTTCGTTTTGAAAAACGAGCAAATGAAATGTGGCGCCAGCGTGCCGCGAGTATGCGCGCTTATTAAATATAAATGTTCATGCTAGTTTGCATCTAATCTGCGCCAAATTAACCGCGCAAGCCAAAATTTATTTTCGGTTAGTTTCATCGCAACATTTTCAAAAATAAATGATTTATGGAATTTATATTTTTCACCTGTCCACGATAACAAATTATTATATTTTTGATTAAAATTTGTAATGAGTTTCAAGAAACTTTTGCAATAAATTAATTTTGTAATAAAAGTGATTATATATTTTATGAAAAATTGAATGGTTGGGGATGATTTTTATTTACTAATTTAGAGTTGCCTTGTTTATTTATTTATTTTTCACAAGAAGTGCACAAACGCTTCATTATATCTCAAAGTTTCAACTTTTTAGCGTTAGAGGTCGATACTTATACCTCTTTAAGACTTAAATTATTGAAATTTGGGAGTAAAAGAAACGTTAAGTTGAATTAAAAAAATTTATTAGAAATATAAGCCAGAATTTCATAAAAAAAGTCAACTAATTATATTAATTTGAACGACACCTAGTATAATATTCTTCTCGTCATTCTGACTTAAGTATGACTTAAAATTATGTTTTTCTACTTCGACCTATAAAGCGCTAGTTTACCCACGGTTTCTTGTCACAAAATGTGATACTTTATATCTCGTGAGTAAAGTCCTTGTTTGGCCACTTGATTCTTAATCACGAACACAATATAGTAAACTTCATCCAAGTAGTGATTTATGCAATATGTGCCCTCTGTTGGACCATAGAAGATGATTTCTCTCCTGACATATATATGGCACTCGTAAAAGTCACAAATCATATGTTTGAGGTCAATAAAAAGCGATGCATCCCAAAGGACGCACGGGCGTCGTCTGTATCGATGCTTTATTTGGTCAGGCATTTCTCGACTTTCGGGCGTCCCAAGTTCCTGTTCTTTCTGCGAATCTGTCAGCCGGCGTTTGATAGCTGGAGGACATTCGAGCGAAAAATATACAGCTACAATTCAGCCAGTTGCCCAGCTTGCAATTTTTCTAAGAATGTGAACAATTTACAAAATCACAGATTATTTATTATTTATTTACGATTGACAATATTTTTTACTCTAAACTTATTTTAATTGTGTTTCAAGGTTGCAAATAGCTGAGCAGTTTGCCAAGCATGTTTGAGGTTATACCGCATGGCTATTTTCAGAGTTCGGAAAACGAGAGTTTTTGGCAGGCAGCCAATTCAACAAGCGCATAACATCGCCGGTGAACAGAACAGATGACTTTCATTACGCTCGGCAGGGGATCTCGGCGTGGATTTTTATTTTACGTTTTTACTCGCGACATTACATTAACAGATGCAAAAGAGTTTGAAAATATGTGCAACGTGGAATATGTCCAAGAATTTTACCAAGTATTCTGCATAAAGAAAAAATTTAATACAAATTGATTTTTCAATGCATATTGATGATTATGACCGTTAATTGGTGCAGAATTTTGCATCGAAATTGCAGCGCTCATAACGATTAGTGCCGTAATAACCCGTTATTAATTAACAACCCAATGATTATTTGTTTTTACAATGCGGCGAGTGCCCGCCCGACAAACGATATTCACGTTCGTCGATTTGCGATTGAATTAATAAAATGTCATCGCGCGTGTAATTGAAAATTTCCACGCGCCACATGTACAACACGCAACACATCGGTTTATTAATTATTTTGAATGTTTTAGTAGGTAAACAAAAATGCCCATCTGATTTCTGTTTTTTTGTAATAAAAACTATGACCAATTCTGGTTTACCCACGCGGTATAATTCACTGCCGTGCTGTCTTCTTAGTCCGGTGAGGTCAGGCGTTAAACGAGATTAAAAATAATCTCTGAATCAACGTTAATTACTAAAGGTTTTCGGGGGGCGGGCGCGGTATGCAAGGCGTGCGCCCGGTGTGTTCCCGCACACTTTTCGCAGGACGCGCACAGCCTCCGGCATTAGCAGGAAAGCTCGTTACGTGGGATCTGCGCTCGGGGCGTGCGGCGCAATAACTACTGTTTGTTCGTGTGCAGCAGGAGGATTACCGCCAGCCAACGTTATTGTTATATGTCGCTCGAGATGCACGCCAGCCATTTTGTTGATAATCTAAATTAAATAATGCTCCCGCGTGCACACAATCGTGAAATAATGCGTATCTTTGAAGATTTTGAAATTTACCTAACAGATTTTAAATTTTTCTTTTATTTCCACTTTTATCACGGTTTTGAGACATGAAAAGTTGTATTTTAATCACGGACAGTCAAAGTCGTGACTAAAGTACTTTAGTCACGGGGTGGAATTTTTACTAAACGTGGTTAAAGTGCCACTTAGCGCACTTGTTACTTAATACCCAATTAAAATTTTTGAAATTTTTAAATTTTCAGTTTCAACAAAAGTTGTTTGGGCGGTAACAATGACAGATTTTAAATTTTTCTTTATTTCCACTTTTATTACGGATTTAAGACATGAAAAGTTGTATTTTAATCACGGAGAGACAAAGCCGTGACTAAAGTACTTTAGTCACGGGATGGAACTTTTACTAAACGTGGTTAATGTGCCACTTAGCGCACTTGTTTCTTAATATACAATTAAAAATTTTAAAATTTTTAAATTTTCAGTTCCAACAAAAGTTGTCTGGGCGGTAACAGGACGAGATGTTGAATTACCTTGCGACGTCACTCCGCCTTTACCAAGTGATGCAGTCAGTATGGTTTTTTGGTTCAAGGATACCACAGGTACACCATTGTATAGGTAAGCAAATTTCCATTATGCATCAATCAATAATTAATAGCGATTTGTTGGAGTATTTAATAGTCTGATGAAATATATTTAATTTACCACCAGCGTGCACATTGACAGTCAATCATCATTATATTCATAGGATGATTTGCGATCGATGGACTCTCGCATACAATCACCCGTATTGTAATATTGTTTGCATCGTCTCGATACTGTTTACGCTCTATTTGGCTAAATACCCGCTGCCGTCGTCGTGTTTTGCATATAATTTATCACCACATTTAAATGTAATTTCGGTCATAATTAATCAACCCAACTGATTTATTAATGCGCCAGCAAATTATCAATTATAAATCTTATTTGCCACACGATAATGTGAACACTTTGTATATAATATATTTAATATCAAGTGATTAAATGGGGACTTTACTCACGAGATTAATTGAGTAATCGAGTGTTTAACAACGTTTAGCCACGTGATGCTTACGCTATTCTTTTCTACTTCCACTCTAGTTCCACGTTGAGGTTTTTGTATTTCAACTTTTTATTTGTGTTGCTCCGTAGGCAAATACGCAGGCGCAAACTCTGTCTCGTAGATAATGCCCGTAGATAATGGATATTACTCAACCGTATATTAAAAACCATTTTTGTGACTAAAAATCGTGGAAAAACTGACGCTTTATACGTGGAAGTAAGAAAAATTTTGTTTCGTGATTTTTATTCACTTTTTTTCGCGAGGATGTGACTCGTCAATATCAAATATTTTCTTTCCACTCGATGAACCCCCAAATGGACCACGAAATACTCGCACTCGTATATCTAGCAACTGCCGGGATAAACTGATTATTTCTGCTTTCCGCTCGCCGCTTTTTTTCTCCTGTTTGGCGCTCGACATTTCGACATTATGCTCTGACTTCGCAGTGACGTGACGCTAAGCCGTGACGACAAGACATATTTATAAATACATTTTTCTCACTAAGCACCTCCTTTATTTTTACGACTGTGCGCGTTTTTATCGAAATTTTGAAACATAACAAACGTTTTTACCGTTTTTGATTTTATTTTGATTCGTTTGTTGAAGAAAAAATGTTTAGGTGAGAGACTTATTCCAAATTGCAAGACGTGTAACTGTCACTGTTTGGCGAAAAATTCCGTGCGAAAAAAATACCGCTATAGAAACCCGCGCAAACTTTTCCCTAATAATGCGCCGCTAACAAGATGCTCCCGGCTGATCTTTGGGGAATTGGGAAATCTCTCTTTTAAATCGGCGTTTACGACGAGCGCCGCTCCATTCATAGTCATTGCTTCCCGGATTTTTTCTCGCGCAAAATTTCCCCGTCGAGGATGTGCGAGCAGATAAAAGATAAAATCGTGCTCGCTTCACATCGGCCGATTCGGCCAAACTGCGAATTGGATTGAATTTGCGTTTCGCGCGTTCCGGCAATAGCATACAGCCGTTTGAGAAAATAATACGATCGACATTTTTTGCGCCGAGGATAGTTTCATAGTGTCATCGGGAAATGCCATCGGAGCGATAGAAAGCAATAAAATGCGATAATCGGTTCGAAAATGGCGCACTCCAACAACGCCATCTGCCACAACTATCTCAATGATCAATCAGCAGATGGCGCACCCGTTAAACATTTCCACCGAGCAAGAGTTTAATTTGGAAGTGTACTTTTTTATATTCAGTCCGGCGTGTCTCGTTAGTATTTAACGAAGCTAACGAAGAGTTTCTGACGGAAATGAGGACGAAGGGATCGCTCATAATTGGAATTCTTTCGTCGACGACGTCACGTTCAAACTAAATAAACTCGAGCATCTTTAACCCGTTAACGTTTCACGTTTTTTTCTTTCTACGTTTCGTATTTTTCCGTGTCGCAAAGGTAAAAACTATTTAATCAATTTAATCAATTCGAAATGACGTGTTCGTGTCGCGCGGCCATCGGGCGTTAATTAAATTAAAACACAATTCAAACACAATTCGCGCGATCCAAGATTATTCGCCGGCAATTGCCGCGCGCGAGACATAAATAATGACGGATTTCAAAGTGCATTTCGTGTGCGAGTACATCGTAATGTGTAGTAATTTTCATATTGAATTTTGAGCGCTGCGAGTGAATAAAATTGCAACATTGCACCGCATGCATTTTGCGCATGTGTGTGTGTGTGTGTGGTGGGAGGGCGGCCATTTATAAATAACGTTAACATAAATCACATTTTAGCCGGCGCATGTCGACATCGTCGGCGTATTATTATTTTAAAGCGAAATTTCATTCCTGCCGCCGAGCGCTGCGCGCATATTAAAAAGTCGAAAGTTCATCTATAATTTATGCAATAAATCATTGCCGACCGCAAAACTGCGCACGTCCTCTTAAACTAAATGTCACCAAAATTGTCCTGTAACTTTTCTTTCGGAAATTCAGTATTTTTCTTTACATGTTTAGAAAAAAAATTATAAAATTTTAATTTCTTTAAAAATAACAATGAAATGAAATTTTATTGGATTCTGAATATTTATGTGGACACTTGGTATAATGTTGAATATTAATGATTGGCTTATAAGTGCATGCAATGGTGCAGAGCGCGACCAAAAATTAGTTTGCATCGAATGCATGTGTTTTGGTTTCTTTTGACGTGCAATTACGCGAAAAACATGATTTTCATTTCTGCTCCATCTAACACCACTAAATATTCATAAAAAAACTCAATGCTTTTCTCATTTAGATGGCGTTTGTTTGCACTTTTAAATAAAATATCGCATTTTGTTTCAGTTTGGATGCCCGAGGTGGCGCTTTAAACACTGCATCACATTTGACAATGAGTGACGATCTTGGTACTAGGTCATATTTTATCACAGATGAAAATCCATCGCGCGCACGATTAAAAATTCATCGCGTCACACATGAGGACGAAGGGGTGTTTCGATGTCGAGTTGATTTTACTAATTCACCAACGAGGAACTTCAAAGTGAATCTCACATTAGTCGGTAATACAGTTTTCTTTTTCATTTTATTTTAGAACACAATTGTTTTGACATTGTTTTCTTAACAGTCCAACCCTCAACGCCGAAAATCTTTGACGCCGAAGGCAAAGAAGTGAAACACGAAGCCGGACCATTCTTCGAAGGCCAACCATTGTTTCTGTCCTGTCAGACAACTGGCGGTAAGTTTGTAGATTACCGAATTTAGATTTTTTGCTTCGCTCAGATGAAAATATCCAAGTTTTGGTAACAGTTTTGGGTCTCCATTGGAGTTGAAGTGTTTTACTGCCGCAGCGTCGTTCGCATTGTGAGCGCGCGCCGCTGCGGATGAATAGAAAGTACAGTTAAAGAGTTTTATCGCTTTATCATTGTTTCGATGCGACTGCGGAGAGTTTTCGCACCGCGCTGGGGAGAAAGACCGAAGAACGGCCGCTACAAAACGGCGCTCATAAAGAAACACACGCGAAGAGACTAAAGTGGAGACTAGAAAACATAGAAAAGACTTTGAACAAGTGTAGATAGGAAACAACTTCAAACTTCAAAACATACAGAGTGTTACAGAAAGGTGTTATATTCAAGCGGAATATTTTGATGTGTGATTTGTTGAGCATGCGGTATAAAATGGGCATTCGTTGATCGGATGGTTGCGGAGTGTATTTCCTTTGAGGACGACTCTAGACTGTGTCCCGCGAGAGCGCAAAATAACTGCGAAACGCCCGCAAAACGACAACGAAATTCACAAGTCACCAACGTCGCCAACGCTGCAACACTTGACGATGATGCGATCGGATAGCCGCCTCCTTTGTGGGCACACATCTAGTGGACATTTATTCCTCCAGCAGTAATATTGCTTTTATTTTGTGAAAATTATTACAAAAAAATTCAAAGATTTTCAATTTTTTTAAATTTCGTTGTGTTGATATAAATTTCAAAGCATCACATCATCGACTATAGGCAGCAGTAGTTTCCTTTGGTTATTGTGTTACTAACGATGTGCGCCTGACGCCATTTCGGTTAGTTTCCGCTTCCATTTCCACAAACTGCAATCCCGACGAGAATCCCGTCCGATGCGAGAGCTCCAGTGTTTGCTGTTAATTACCGTATTAATCAGTGTTCGCATTTCATTACATGTTGATTGGATATTGTAATTGAGAATGAGGAATGCAAAGGCGCTTATACAAATTAATTCGAGCGGCGAGCGTCGGCCGGCTTAGATCCGAGCCGGCTTCCGGCCGGCAATTTCCCCGACGCGCGCATTCCGATACAACGGGCATAGGTGGCGCGATCCCTTTGCCGCAGGGGATGCGTCCGGGATGTCGGCGCGACTGCAAAGTGGCGCACGCGGCGTACACAAAAGGAAACGACCGGCATTCCGTGCTGGTTGCCATCGTGCGTACTGTTCACGCCTAGGCTATTATCCCAATTTGGCATCGGACACAGGAGTCTCTTAGTCAGACACCTTTCAATTTCCGCCTTCAATCGTACAACTAACTTCTAACGTCACTCTTTCACTTGATATGTAGCGCTACTTTCAACCGGATGTGTCGGAAGTCGGAAATTGTTAAATTTTTGCCTGACAAGTTCTGTTCTCTTTTTCTCAACAGGAAAACCTCCACCTAGAGTCACATGGTGGGCAAATGACACTCTACTTGATGGTGTGGTGGATACCGGAAGATCTGCACTGACTGCAGTCAACCAATTGGTCATTCCTAAAGCTCCCAGATCACTTCGGGGAAGTCGATTGGAATGTCGAGCTTCCTCAATGGAAATCGCCGGTGATATTGTCCGAGAAGTTCCAATTATTATTTTCTGTAAGTTAACTATTACTATATTTAGATTGCAGTATCTCTGTGGTGTACATAGATACCTAGGTACATGTTGTGCTAAATTATAGCCCGGTTTAAACGTCTCACTGGCTTCCCGCTTCCCGCATCTCGCCTCCGGTTGCAAAGCAGTCGGTGGCACATAAATTATGCAATTCAATGATACCTTCGAGAGCACTCCGGCCCTGCCGTAAACAACCCAACAAACGTTCGTCAGATTGACTCCGACTGCCACGAAACCAGCCGGAAGCCATCTTGAAACTGTTTCCTTCCAAGTTATTTCTTTCACTGCAAGTCCGCACAGCGTAAACTTTTGAACTTTGGCTGAAACAAAATCTTTTTTCGACTATTTTTAGTACGTTGTTATTTCCCGGCAGATTTCACCGGTGTTTTCTTATTTTTCTCTTCTAAGACTTTGATTTTGACCATATTATACACCAACACACAGCTTGATTTTCTGATAACTTCGATGATTGATTCTGATTGATCGTGCAATATGTTTGCTCTGCGTAAATATTAGTTATAGAAATCTCGGCGTCGAATAAAACAAATCAATGTTTACTGACGCAGAAATCAAAACCGGAAATTATTATTAAATATTTATTTCGACTGAAACTATAATCAACTGTCACCTGGAAGTAATACAAAGGATTTGTGAGTATTAAATGTTTACAGTGAAGCCAAACAAAGTGAAAATCGTGACGCCAAACGAGCTTCTATCTTCGAGCAAAGTCGAGACGGTGAGGTGTGAAACTTCCGGATCATATCCACCTGCAAAAATATCTTGGTCACTGGATGGAAAACCAATTAGGAATCAAGTTCTTACTGTAAGTTCCTTAACTACAAAAAAATTAAGTTTTTTTTTCTAAAAAAATTATTTTTAAAATCGCAGGAAGAGGAAACATCAACTTCCACAACAAGTATTCTTTCCCTGCGAACAACCCCAGATGATGACGGTAAAGATTTAGTATGCCGCGCGAGTAATCCGCGATTTTTGGGCATTTACACCGAAGATCGCCGGCAAATTCACGTCGCATGTGAGTATTCTTACTTTCCAAAAATTTCATCAGCGTAATAAAATGCGAATGCCAGCGTGAACAACACGAGTGCTTTATTGTTTAGTCGGTCATGCTATATGACATGCCTTGTCATCATATTGCATGCTCGGGTTGCATAAATTTCGCCGCGCAAAACAAACGAAAAAGACGCTTTGTGCTTTTTATCTATTTCGCAAGATAACGACATGCGATGCAAAAAACCGCCTCGGACGCAGGCGAATGCAAAGCGACGGCGGGAGCGTTAATTTCTGGCGCGGCGAATTTCAGAATTTCAAGTGCCCCGCGCCGCGGAAATTCAATAGAGCGCCGCCGAGAGACATGTTGAACGTTCGCATGTTTTGCGGCACTTTGCGGTCTTGGAACGAACGCCAGGACGCGCAAACGACCGAGGAACATCTGTCCGGTCTTATTATCAGGACCAGATTTAACTATTTCCTCGAAAATCTAGTTAAAAACTCTAATCCTAACCAAAAATAACCTAAAAATAAAGTAAATTTAAAATTAATTAAAATTTTGAAATACAGATGGCGCTGGTGGTAAAACGTTTCATTTTATGAAGTTTTTTTAAAGTTTATGCATTGCCGGTCCTGCGTAGTCTTCCTTTGCGGTCTGGAACTAATTGAAATTCAGGTCGTGGGGGCGATCGCCCGCCGCCCCGATAAATAATCCTTTTGTGTGGGTGCGCGCGTCACAAAGTAAATGGGAATAATTTACGAATAATTTCGCGCGCTCGCCACACATATCCGAGGGTTAAGTAGATGCGCGTCGAACGTGTCTGACCTTAGCACTCGAAAACCGAAACTCGACTCGTACATCCGCACCAAACGTCCTCGGACGAAACGCTCTCATTTTCGGCACTATGTCAAAATTGAAGGTCCTCTATTGTTCGCAACTCGGGGATTCAATTAAAACCTACTGTGCTCATTGCGAATCGAAGCGTCGTGAATAAATTTTCAACAATTTCGCCTCGAAGATGCGGGGGATATGAGGTTGGGCGCGAATCGAGGATGGAATTTCGCGCGGCTCGTTGGCGCTGGCGCGCGAAAATGCAAACATTTGTAAACATGGCGAATTTCGAGTTTAGCGACGGCGAATCATTGTTTAAGTGAGGGCCTGGGCGGGAACGCTGCGCGCATTTTAAACGCGGATCGCCTGGAATCCCAACGAATATCTCCGGCAACGATCCAACGTTTATCCAACGAGGAAAAAAACATAACTGTGTACATATTTCAATTACATATTCTAATGAACAGTCGTGGAGGGCGCGCGCCGAGAAAACAGAACGCGTTCGTTTTCGAGCCAAAATTTAATTAGCTACGAAGACGCGCACTGAGAGCAGGCAGAAATCAAATTGATTATTATTCATGAAGCGCCAAGGAAGACGCTGGGAATAAAGACGAAAGAGTTGGAAAGTGAAATGTACGAATCACATCCAAAAATCACATCTAATAATAACAAAATAAATCAAAAACATTTAAAATTTTATTTAACTTTAGATTAGTTTGTGTTGCGAATAATTCCAATAGTTGAAGATTTAAATCTGATTGTCTATTGTGCAGTAATTTGCGGAATGCGAGTAAAATTCCGTAGGCATTATTCATTGGCTGATTGCATCGCGCATTGCACAAATAGTTGCAATATTCGACTTTTGTAGATGTCAAGATAATTTTAATGAAACACCTTGTAAGCACGAATTGTGGAATGCAGGCAGCGTTTGAATGTTTGGCGCTAGCGTGAAAGGGTTGTTGGTGCCGTTTTCGTCCTTGTCGCCTGCGTCGCATGTTTTCTTTGCCTTCGGGTGCACCGTTACATATCTGCGATATTATTCCGCCAAAAGCTCGTTTGCATATCCAGCCATAAAATCACGAACCTGTGAAATTGTATTGCATAAACTCAATGCATATATTTATAGATGTGCGCGTCGTCGCAGCGCTGCATAAAATTTGATAAACACATAAAAGTGGTAAAAATTGCTCGCGCCGATGCAGTTTTTAAGTGGAGATTCGCATAGCGTCTCGTAAAAATTAGATTATCTCCGATAAAAACGCAAAAAATGCAAAAATGATTAAAATTACCGCTATTGTAATAAATTGTTGGATTTACGGATGGATCACAGCATGACTCAAGTGACCAATAGCCGTGTGGTTTGGAATACAAGCCAGCAGTCTGTTTCTGTTTGCCGGACGCCATAAATTACAGTTATTAGTAAATATCTTTCGGATATTGTAGCTCATAACTACCACTTGGTCGGCGGTGGCGAGCGGCTTTCGACTTGCTTTACTACCCGATATTAACTACTATTAGCTTCGAGTCGGTCGCCTCAGTTGTGTACACATAAGAGGGTCGTTCGTAATTCATATCGGCCAATAATCTCAAACGAATAGCGCAGATTCAAATATTGGTGGACTAAACATACTTTCCATACCATCGCGCAAATTACTTTTAAGTGAAATTTTAAACATTTACCAAATTAAAACGATAAAACTGTTTGCGTCCGTTTTATTGACTTTATGTTTATTGAATCGTGAAATTGCGCATGGGTTATAAACCGAGCTATAAAACTAGATTCTAGTTATACGAAAGTTTTCACATTTCTACAATGTAGACCAATGCTAGCCCGGCGCATTCACCATGAATATAAAAGTTAAATTTTAATTTTGTGGCAAATCTTTTATGTTTTCGCACAGTTTTAACTAAGATTATGTGCGGTGTGATTTGTACCGTCTGCCCACATATCATCTTTGGCAGAGGTGGTAACTTTATTTAATTTGCACCCCAAAGACGACGACGCGTGGGGCTTTGCGTTAGAGCCAAGTAACATTTCTATTAAAGCAGTTTAGTTGTTGCGATACACGTGCGCTGGCGAAAAGTCGGCGAAGTCGTTTTAACCCTCCGACTAGGGGATGGTTTTCGGTTGCACGGACGTCTTTAACAAAAGCGCACCGCACGGAAAAGGCGCGAGCGCCGCGCCGCGCTGCGTTTTGTGCTGCTCGTTGGCTGGCTGGCAGCGCGGAACCTGCCGAGAATTAAAGATGATCTCGCCTGGTCGGCTTCCGTCTGCCGTCGACGACGCGCGGTGTCGGTTTCAATGTTCGCACGCGAAAAACCGGGGCGCAAATTCGCCTGTTTGTATGCCGATCATGTACGCCGTGCAAAACGTAAAGTTACGTATATATCGTCGTTTCTGACTCTCGGCAACACGTTCCTCGGCTGCGATCCTTTTCCTGGTTGAGAAGGAGAGCGCTGGAGGGTGGTGGTGGTGGCGGCGAGCGGAAGCAAGCGACCGGCCGGCCGTGGGAGCGCGCCGGAGATAAAGATAAGTTCCTCCGAGTGGTTAGGAGACCGTTGCACTTTCCTCGTTTGCGGTCGCATAAATCATCAAATTAGGACTCGTCGGATAATTCCCGGCCATTGAATCGCTAACTCCTTCCACGCCCCATGGATAACTGCGTGGAGACGGGATTCTTAGCAAAACTACAGGAATTCTCCAATAAAAACACTAAAAAATTGATTTGAAATGATTTTACGTAAAAATTCAAAATCCTTAAAAACCATTGAGTTTTAGTACATTTTGCGTATGCGTAGGTTTATTCCGGATCCCTTTTAGTTTTATTCACCACTTCGCACTCTTTCTCGCAGCTTCCCGGAGCTCTTGCGTATATAATGCGCCCTTAACGCGTAAGAAACCTTTCGCGCGACGACAACGCGTGTAAAACCTAATCCCATAACAATAAAAGCAGAACGACGTCTACTTTGGTTTCGGCGGCAGTGGCGGCGGACCCGTTAAACGTTAATGGGGCGGCGTTCCGGCGACGTGCGCGTTAATCAAAAAACTGTCCCGACATTAATTGACGCCGTCCTTCGCCGAAAAATACCAAAAATTGCACATGAATCAAAAATTTACAAACTTTAACAAAACCCCACAAAATTTTGAGAAAAAAGGCGTTTAGGAAATTTAATACGAGCTTGAAAATTAAGTTGCACTTAGACATTTTGTTTTAAACGAATTACCTGCTCGGATTTAAAGATAAAGTTCTAATGGCCGGCGTAATGGTTATTTTATTGCTGGCAACGCCCGAGGCTGTTAAATTCGTTTAGGATGCCCGGGCATTATCATAGACATTAGTGTCGCATTGTTCGGACTTTTTATTCGGGGCCATCTCAAGCCACCTCGCGACACAAAAAACACCAAGGTGGACCTGAATCACCTACAGTAGACTATTTTTTGTGCTTTGGATGATGAAGGTTGATGGCTTATTTATCATATTGTTTTAGATCCTCCCAAGGTAGTTGTACGTCTGGACACAGGATCGTCGCCAGTTCAGGAGGGTGCGACTGTTGTTTTACGGTGTGATTGTGTTGCTAGACCCACTCCACACAATTTTAATTGGTATCACAATGTGAGTATAATTGAATTAATTTTTTTGTTTTTTTTTTTGATTTTTCAAATGAAAATTTTATTTGTTTGGGTTTGTTTTTTTCGTAACAAAGTTCAATATGAATGAACTTCCATATTTATAAGCTCGACACATAAAAATATTAAAATAGAATTCCCCTTCTTAATTTTTTATATTTTCCGGTTTTATTTTTATTATTTTTTTTTGTGTGAGTTGCAGCGCTTTATTTCTTGAATATACAACGATTGCACCGAACTCTCAGAGGAAGGCTTCGTCTTTAAAAACGTTCGCATGCTCCGCCATTTGGTATTTGGTATTTGGCGTTTTGTATTCGGTGTTTTGCGCGCTGCGCGCTTTGGTGTTTCATTTACATATTCCGTTTTGATTTTTATTTATATAAAGCCGTGGCGGACGCGCCGGGCGAAATGTTTCTGCGCATATATTAGGAGAGGATGCTCTTTTGTGTTGTCCGGGATGTTGTTGTCGGGAGGAAAAACCGGCGCGTGGAAAAAATTACGGCTGCGGGAAGGCAGTTGGGCGTTCATTGTGCGCGCCAAGACCGAAGAGTCTTGTCGTATGCAAATTAATTTTTCTTCGGGATTATATGTAAATACAGGCGAGGGCGGGAGGCAAAAAATGATTGGGTTTAAACAAAACCCACAACTCGATTATTCTCACTTAAATTTTTATCTTGAATTCCAATTATTATTATTACATAACCAGCAACTTATGGATAAGTTTCTTAAAAAAATCATCATAAGAAAAATAAGATTGCGAAGCGAAATGAAGTGAGATTCTATTAATCGCGTGAAAGATGAGCATTTAATACGTCGAATGTTTTTCCCGTCATGACTGAAACTGAATGTGCTTTTCATCTGTCCGTTTTCGCTTTTCATCATCGTTTCCAGATTAACTTTCTCTCATCGCCCTCGGCGGCGTAATTACAAATGTATTTCTTATGTTCGCCACGCTTGAGATGGCCGAGATGTTTACGAAGGCGATGATGGGAAACACATGAAAAGAAAATCGCACATGTGCTGGAGAAGGACGAACGAAACAAAATCAACGCAAAGATGAAATATCACTCCTTGATGTGGCGCACATCGGCACATCAATAAATTGCTAACGCCTGTGATGATGTCTGCTGGTAATTTATCTTCGAATTCAAATCAACAGACAAAAGAAAATGCAAAAGTAAACATATTTGCTTTTCTCGCGGATGATTTTCGCGCATTTTTTCGCCTGTTGTTGTTTGTTGCGAAAAGCCGATTTGTTCGCATTGATGCATACAGTGTTTATCTCGAGTTTACGAGTAAGTAGCTTTGAAATATTGCGAATCGTGGCGGCGCATTAAGCACGCATGAATATTTTCATGCTTTTACATTTGTTTCGTCAACGTTTGCTGGATTATTATCAATTTAGATTTATTGCGTTTATGGCATCAACCTAACCTCAATTGTGGGTTCCTAACCTTAGATTTGACAAGTTTTTGAGTATTCTGCTTTAAAATCTGTGCTAAGAACTATCGTCACCCTCTTCTGCAGGGGTTGATTTTCCGGTATCGAATGGTGGGTTGTATGCCGACGTCGACGCGCGTCCTTATATCGTATTCAGCCCGACGACACGACGCGCTCGGCTCGTGTGTGCAAACACAAGGAATTGGAATGCCTGCGCGGCTGATGGGATTTGCATTGTGTCGGTTTTGCGGGCGGCGCACCCACCCCAGCCGGCCGGGGTTTAACGTTACGTGTTGAACATCGCGCTCGAGAACCGAACACCGGCAGAGGAGAAATCCCCACGTCCTGGAAGAGAGCTCGAGACGAGGAGAGCAGAAAAACTATCGTGTGCTGAAAGAGTGTTGAGTTTGAAATTCTTCGATTGCAGAAAAAATCTTTGGGGCAAAAATGGAATTGTTGGTGTTTACACTAGTATGTCGAGTGCGTTGAGTTGAGGATGTCTCACATGTAGGGGTGAACTGCAGGAGATGTATTAAAACAGATATTTGACGTTTGCATTTGACGATTAAATCAATTTCGTGCGTTGCGTTGTGGGTGGTGATGATGAAATGTGTGGATGTGACAGGTAAACAGGACTCTAAAAAATTGCAATCGGAAAAATTTGTTTCGAAAATAAAAAAATGTATTTTTAAATAATTTGAGCGTAATTGATGTAAAGTCTTCTTATAAACTGACATTAATGATGCCCGTTTTAGGTGTTTATTGATTGATGTATTTTAGCAAACTTTGCCCCCACTCATAAATGCCTCATCGAGCAAATTAATTCACCGCTTTGTTTATCAAAAAGTCCAAACATTAAACAAGCTCAAAAACAGCGCGAAGACGGATTTGCTTTTCTTCGCATTTCGGGTCATCAGAATTTCCTTTTCATCGAGCTCTTTATTTACGTTCGGAGTTAATTAATTAGCTGACTAATTAGTCGCGCATTTTCATCCGCGTTCAGCGCTTTCCTTGCCTCGTTATTTCGCAATTTTGCCAACATTAATTAAACACTCACGCTTAGCATTTTGCAGAATTGATATTTTTGTACTTTTATCGACAAAAAAAGCGGCGAAATCCTATTTAAAAATAAATTCTAACTCGGACGCACCTTGGACTGAATTCAGCATTCATGGATTAAATTTTTTGCGTGTTTTTGTGAGTGGTTTTTTCTTCAGACGAGATAAATATCAAGTAAGACAGACATAGATAACGCAAATCCAGTGTCAAGGTGATAGATGAAAGCCCTGCGAAGGGCCGCAGGCTGAAACTCGGCCTGGATGGATGCATGCTAAACAAAAGAGCGCGCGTTTTATTGGCCGTGAAAATAACAAATTGTTACTGGTGCACGGCGGACGTGCCGCCGCCGCTTCTCGCACTTTTGCGTTTCCGGCCGCGCCGTCTTCTTCCGCACTATTTATTGAACATTCGCAGCGGATGATTTACATGCGGGCATTCATATCGCGAGGACGCCGGCGGTGATAAAAAATCGGGCGAATATAGAGTGCCGGCGACGCGCTCGGACACATAAAAAGATTTCTACTCCACGGACGCTGCTTTCCGAAAGCAGCGGAAAACATCTTGTATTTTATTACATATTTCCATCCTTGGGCCCAGGGTCTACGCGTTAGATTCGGGGCATCTATTCTCGTGGTCCAATAAACACGAACAAATAAAAATAACAATAAACGTAAAATATCGCTAACTACAAGCGGACAGGAGAGAAATGCGTGCATTATCGGGACGATTTTTTGCGCCGAATTTCTTTAAACCCAAAATACGGTAAAAACATCTTCAGATTACATTGGTTTTATGTTTATTTCAACAGTTTTTTACAAAAGTCTAAAACTTTTATCCTAGATTTTAGATTTCTGAGATTATATTCTAAGATTACATTCGGTTTTTGTTTTCTAAAATTTAAAATTTTTTTTCATGGTTTTGAGACACAAAAAGTATCATTTTAGTCACGACCATGACTAAAGTACGTTTTTCTAAAAACAATCTTTTTCTTTTCTACAAAAATTTTTATAACTAAGTTAATGCAATTGTGTGTTTTGAAAACTTTCCTCTTAGCTTCCTAATGTGCTAATTTCATTTCTAAATTTGTTTGTTTTTTTGCGCACTCGCTTCAGCTTTTTATCTCCGCCGACGACAGAGCAAAACTTTTGCGAAACTAAACAATGCTAAGCAGGCATCGCACGAAATGAGCGGCATGGGGCTGAAGGCATTCTGAAGCCTCAAGATTCGAAATTCGTGCGATTCGTGCAGCCCGGATTCAATAAACTACCTCTTAGCGATGAGCCCTCTTAATGCTCTTTGCGGCAGGCGGCACACAATGCGTTCGCTAACGCAATAAGCGAACAACCCCACCTCCATTGCGAATGAAAATCCGACGCTGTAGACTGGTGGAATTCTTCTTGCGTCTCTCCAAGAAATCCATCAGCAATCAGCGCGGTTTTGTTTCGAGAGTGCATCTATCAAAACTCGCTAATAAGTTCGTTAATGTCGTTACCGCTGCTCCAGCGCCGGCGAGGGCGAAAGCTCGCGGAAATTACGTTCGCCGTTGCTTCGAGTGTCTCTAAGGGGTTGAATTAAGTTGAACATTTGAATTTACGCTGATAAGAATTATTTGTACGAGTGGCAACGCCGTCGGCGGAAATAATTGTTTTGGTTATTGCGATATTAAGAAAATTTTGTTTTGTGACTGAAATTTAATTTATTAATCCTATTTGAATACTCTTAAAGATCGTAAATTATTATTCGCGCATGTGTGTTTCAATAAACCTTTTTTTATTGGTATATTAGGTATCAAGTGTGTTAAACGATATTTTTACCACATTTATCTCCATCACGTGGCTAAAACCCGTGACTAAAAAAACTTTAGTCACAACCTTGGCCCTCCGTGACTTAAATTCAACTTTTTTTTCCTAAAAACCGTGAAAGACTGCTTTAAAGGTGAAAGTTAAAAAATATACTTAACTTAAATTCGCTTGATTCAACTTAATTCTAAGTGGATTCAGGGTGGGTGACACTAAACTCGCGAGGTTGTCACCGCGCTGGCAAATATTATGCATGCGTCACGCTGGAAATAATCAAGCGGCCATTGCCGGCGACAATAAAACAACCGTAAAGCGGAACGCAAACAAAAGTTTCAACGACTCGCCCTGCCACGACCCACGGTCGTGCTAATAAAACCCCTGGATGCTAATAGTCACGAAACGAACTTTTGAGTATGATATTTCCTATTATATACGGACGACATTTGCCAATGGCTGCGTTTCCACCAATAAAAACTTTTCGAGATGTAATAATTTTAGTTTTACAAAAACACAATCACTCTTTATTTTCCGATAGTAATTTTGCGTGTTCGCCTTTAGCGAGCAATTCATTATCAGTGTTGAAGATTTTCACATCCATGTAGGCCATTCGATTCTCAATTTTTAGTAACTTTGATGAAATTGTTAATTCATCTCCAAGTTTTGCACTTTTTATACGTCTAAAAATGATATGTTTAAACATTTTTCATAAAAAGTAATAAAAAAAACTTACAAAACACTTATATTAACTGTTGGAGAAGGTTCTCTCCATTCTGGGCATGAAACCATTCCAATACTTGAAATAGTATCAACTAACGTCACTGCTAATCCATCGTGTAGATCTCCCATTGGGTTTAAGTCTCCTTGAGTTACGGTAAATTTAGCATGGCAATTTCCTTGATCCGCCTTCACAATATTAACCTACAAACAAAAATATTTAAAAGAAAAATTCAAATTTTGTTAAAAGTTCTTACTCTATGAACATTTTTGAAGAAACCTCCAAGACTTCTTAATGTCCTATTTAATATTACCGCCTGTGGCATAATGCACAATAAACGAGTACTTTTCTACGTGAAAATTTATTTATTCTACTACAAACACCGACCGATGTAAAATGCCATTCAAATTAAGTCATAGTTAGCGTTAAACTATCGTTTGTAGATATTTTATCATTATGGTATTTTAATGGTTGTTTATGCTTATCAATATAGCGACATATACTTTACTTAATTTTTTACAACATTTACAAGGTCAAAGAAAACGTTTTTCATAATATTAATAGAACTACTTGAAAATAATTTTGCACTATCATGTCATGTTTAAATATATCTCTAAAATTACAAAGCGTTAAAGAAGAACATTTAAAACTTATAGAAGCCGAAGTTGGCAAACTTGCATAAATCCAATTTTTAGTCAAGATTTCCAAGCGAATTATTTCATTTCCGTTCTTCTATTTCCTGCACGCTGCAGTTTCTTTACATCCCATCATATTTCTCGGCGAAATAGTTTTTCTCAAACTTTCGCAGAGCACGAGGACTGTCATTTTCATATATCTCTATGAATCGGGCGAATGAATTCTCTCGTCCTTCCTGAAGCAGAGATTATTAATCTCTTACGATTTGCAAATCCGAATTGGGATCGAAACAATGATATAAAGTTTGAATTGTCATCGTATCTTCTATGCGCGCGCGAATACATTCAAATATTCCAGTTTAATTTATGATCAAGGAGACCACGGGAGGAAGAAGCGGCGAAGGCGCCAAGGGTGCACTGCCATTGAAAAGTAAACTCCTAATACTCGTGCTGGTATAATAGATAAAGGACGAAATGATTTATTAACTTTTCTTCTTGAGGCGAAATTCAAAGAGGAGTCAAGGAGTCAAGGAGGCAGCAACTTGGGACAAAAAAATCTAAGGGCTAGATAGCAAAATGACGAAGGACCACGAGAGAAAAACAATTTTTTTTGTGTTTAAAATTTTTTCTGATTTTTTCCAGGGTTACCTGATAAATTACAACGAATCAGCTGGTATTTTACCAATCGACGATTTACTCACTATCAATCGAATCGAAATCACTTCAGATGGTGATTATTCCTGTGCAGCTACAAATTCTGAAGGTGAAACCTACAGTGCACCATTAAATATCCTGGTTCAGTGTAAGTAACTTGAAATTAACCTACAATTTACGCAAATATTATTTAATCAAAATGCATGATGTGTAAGTGTAAGAATATCCTCATAGCAGGATGAAGGACAAAATTCTCTTGTTGGTCTCCAAGGAAATTGAACACCTGCGATCCCGCGAGTGCACGTCACACCCTTATCATCCGCCTTTTCTTCGACTCGACGCTACCCTTTTCGGGACAAATTAATTTTCTTCATTTGCGTACATCGTTCAATAATGTGTCCCTCTCGGGGCCGCAAGTGGAGCACAATGTTATGCCGGCGTTGTTGAACATTCGTGTCATCGTGTCGAACAATTTATCTAACGATTTATTCAAGTGTGACACAATGTTATGAATTCCCACGTTAGGTACGCGCAGATGTCCAAGAATAGACGTTACACTGCTGACATAATGTTTAGTTTTGGTTGCCACGTCTAGATGGCGCGTATTTCGTGATTTATGAAGTTTATTATTCACTTGTTGTATAATATACTATTATATTATTGGGAATTTAGTGGGTGCGGGATTATGTTTTGTATTATATTGTGATAATCATCTTAAACTAGACTGGAAGCTTAATGCCTGCCTGCTTTGTTGAAACAGGACGAAATTGGTTACAGAACCACCGGTACCGGGAGTGTCGGGTCGGTACAACGTACGCCTTTAAACAATAATTACTGAAGTGCTTTGTTGTTCGGCTAATTAGCTGTGCTTTATTGTGTTTGCCTTATCGGTGTTTCCATCAAAGCGATACTAAATAATATTATACAGTGTGTTTAGTGAGGTAAAGATTAGTTTTTGGCAAACAAAAGTTAATAATAGTATATTAAATATCAAGTGCGCTAAGTTACACTTTAACAACGTATAGCAGCTGCATGCTTAGGTTATTTTTCTATTTATACTTTATTTTCATATTTGAAGCTCCGCCCCGTGACTAAAACACGTTACTAAAACATTTTAGTCACGACCGTGACTAAAGTGTCAAATTTGTCTCTTGAAACCATAGGAAAGGTGGAATTATAAAGGTGGAGGTTAAAAAATAAAATTTTAGTTTTTGATGTAAAAGTGCAATATGATTTTGAAGGGTTAAAGGAAAAATTCCGTAGATGAAGATATCAAACGTATGGCGCCGTTGCGCGCCGCGGCAACCGTCGGAAAATGATAAAACCGCAAATTACGTTCGATAACACTCGGGCGTCACGCTTTGGCGAACTTTGATGGGGCGTCGCGTTGTTTCGCTCGCGCATTGCAGCAATTCGATACAGTCGACGATATCGCGCCAGAACAAGCAGCGCGCACCTTTGGCGGCTGCACCACCGGGCGCAATTCCGCAAGTTTCCTTCGTGTTCGCCGCCGCCGCCGCGCGTCGCATATTGCCGGTGTCGGGACGATAGTTTCCGATACAGACGGAGCGGCACTTCGCGAACGTTAGCGCTGCCGCTCCCGCTGCCGCCGCCATGGCATTTACATCTTTCGGCGCGCGTGTCTCCGAGGGCGGTCGCAGACGGCGCGCGAGCACACAACAGATGTTCAATATCGAGATGTAGACATAGACATTCCATTATCTCCCGGCTGCCACTTGATGCCGCGCGCACCTAGCGACGCGATTACCAAACAACAACCGAATCCCAGATGCAGCGTCTCATATCCCGTTTCGCTTAATTAAATGTTTAAAGGAGCAGCGAACACCGGCAGCCGGCTGCCATCATCTTCCATCTACAACTACCGGCGTTATGTTCGCCTCCAAGGCTGGATTCGGTTTAATTTTCAATGTAAATAACTATTGCTTTGACTCCAACTCAATTACACTTGAAATTTCGCTCGAAATTATTCATCAATCGATGTAAGTTATCCGAAAAAGTCGTCTGACAAATCCGCAGCCAGAAAAACTGGGATTACCGACTGAAATCTTGTCGTTTTTCTTGTTTTTCTCGCGATTCTGTATACGCCCAACGCTCTCCAAGATCGAGAATAATGTGTCAATCAGATCCATCGAATCGGAAAAGTATTTGAATGAATATCGTAATTTTCCATCTTGGAGCGCGCTCATTTTTCCGCGCCGCGCAAGACATTTGTTCGCGTCTTGCACAAAGCGACGGCGGCGTCGCGCTATTGATTCGTGAAATTATAATTTCGTCAACGACGTCTCGCGTTTGGCGCTCATCTCCGCTCGGCGGTGATGAGATGACGCCCGATATCGAGCCCTCCAGCTGCCGCATTATCATGCTCGCCGAAAGTGGCATCTTTCAAACCGCAAACCGGCGCGCAGAAAAAGAAGATTAAGTTATTATAGTTACAAATTGATGCGGAGTGCACTCACGACGATAATGATAACCATTTCCTAACCGTTCTCAGCGTTCTCAAGCGTTTCCGACATCATCATGAGGAGATGCACTCGAAATTTCAGGATATTCATCATTCCCATCATCATATTTCATTCTTACGAGGCGCGAAATGAAGAAATACACTATGAAATAACTTGGATTCTAATTTATTTATTTTTTGGCTTCAGATGCACCCAGATGTAAGAAGGGCTACGAAACGATGCGTGTCGGCGCGGTGCCATTCGAAAGCATGGTGGTGCATTGTCACGTCGATGCCCTACCGGAAGTGACGCGATTTCATTGGACTTACAATACCAGTCGAGGCGTGCTGCCGATTCAAGGCGGGAAAATGCAGAATAAAATTGGCGTTTCAACGCTGCATTTTACTCCGGGAGCGATGGACATTGATTCGCTGCAATGCTGGGCGACAAATCACGTTGGCAGACAGGAAACACCCTGTTTATTTTATATTGTACAAGCACGTAAGTAAAAATTCTATTTTAACACCCAGAGCGACAAAAATGGTAAATTAGGACTCAAGTGCACTAAGCGGTACTCTAGCAACATTTTATATGACACTGTAGCTCTTCCCCGTGACTAAAAGTCGTGGTTAAAGTATTTTAGTCACGGCCTTAGCCGTTTGAGATTTAAATTGCCACTTTTCATGTTTCAAACCGTAAAAAAAGTCTTTTTTCGGAGGTAAAAGTAGAAAAAATATGTTTTTCAGTGTGAACACGCAATGATTTACATTTAATATCCATTTGACTCATAATTAAATCGCTCCCAGTAATTTAGTAAGTGTGAAACATATATAAAAATGTTGTAATGAACTTTGGCGTCACATATTTTCCGCGTAATCTAGCTAATCTCGCCGAGTACCGCTGTAAACTTAATGAAAACTGCATGTCGGCTTCATCATTATTTACGCTCATTTATCATGCCGGGCGAAAAGCTGCGGAAAAAAAGCGCTGGCGCGCGCGCGCGAAGAAAGAATCGACAGGGAATTGCGCGCATTGTGAGTCTAATAACTCTTCATAGAGCAGCGGGCGGACGTTTTTGCTTTCAAGTGTTATAATATATTGGATAACTTCGATATTGGCACGTATAAATTGAGAGCTCGGGAGCTTTTAGTCGGGCCGCGCGGGCGGGACGTACAAGGAACAGCACTCAGTGTTGTGGTCGAGGCGCAACACGAAGCTCGCGTGCATGCACACGCGATGGACAAAAAGCAAGCACAAAAAAAAACAGTGTTGTATCGAACGGACAGCGTGCGTTTTTGCTCGCTGCTGCGCGAATGTCATTCGATTCGGGCGGGTTGCAGAGTCGGGCATCACGTCGCAAGCGTTAAAATTTTTTATCATTACTCATCTTCTTTTCTATTTATTTGCGAAGGCGTATCGACGCATCGGGATACGCTGCGCGCAAAAAACGCACCGGGAAAAATGATATATCAGTTCGCAAGCGGGGAGTTTGCTTGCTTTGACAAAGTATTGTATAACGAGTCGGGCGGAAAGTGTTCGAGCTGTACAATTGGTGAAAAAACACAATCGGAACATATTGACTATTTTGAAATAATTTTTTTATTTTAAAAATGAAAATCAAAATTAAAATGTATTGTTTTCATAATTACTCCTATTAGTAATTAGAATAAAACATCACCAGTCGCACGCAATCACCCTTACCCATTTTGGGTAATATTTGGAGGATGTAACAGAGTGCGAAGCTTAATTTTCGCCCTCGACACGCACACAATAGACGACCGCGTGAACACGCCAGACGTGAATGGCATATGTATACAGTGTGTTCAAAAATTCTATTCGAAATAATTCCTTTGAATGATATAAATATTATATGTTTTGGGGTCACTCTGTAAGTAGACAGACGGATAGGCTTGTTGAGAAGTTTCACAAACGAGTGACGTTTCATATCGATGCTGTTTCGATTCGCCGTACGCGTGGATTATAATCATACGTCGTGCGAGATTAGGTTTCGAAATAACTAATTGGAGCGCGCGCGCGCGGCAATATGTATCCGGATGTCGAAGACGCCAACCTCCCCGGGCACACCAGGAGTTCCGGGACGTGTTCGCCTGCGTTTGCCGCTGACGTTTTATTAATTATCCGCGTGATGTGCAGGCGGGCAGGCTCGTCATGTGTGAGGGGCGCAACACAACACTCTGGGGGTGCGTTATTGTTTTCACGAGATGCGCACAATGGATAATTATTGAATGATAAGATAAACATTTTAGGGGGTTATAACTCCTAAATGTGTTAAGGTAAAAATATTTTTCTACTTTCATTTTTAAGTTCAAAATTTTAACACATAAGTTTTCAACGATTTTGAAACAGGAAAAGTGATAATTTAACCATAGACAGCCGAAGCAATGACTAAAATACTTTAGTCACGGATTTTAGTCACTGGGTGGTGCTAGTATCTGCGCATTTGAAATTTTAAATTACAAAAGTTATGAATAATGATAAAAATGGTGGATGCGTCTGACATTTTAAAGAGTAGTATTATTAATCAATAAAAACTACCCGATTGTGTAGGGAAGCTCTTAATAATCCATTTTAAGCAACTTTTCACTTAATAACTTAATAAGAATTTTTCTGTAGATGTCAATAAATAAAACGTGTATTCTCATAGAGACTTTAGAATCAATTGTCTCAGGAACTAGAAGAGAGAAACCGAAAACACTATAATGCTTAGTATGATATTCTAGGAAAGATAACGTTTAAAATCTTTCAAATATAACATTTGCCTGAAAAAATTTTCACCGCAATTTTCTCAAAAAGTAATAAAGTTAGAAAAAACTTTCTTCATTTTATTCATGTCGTGATAAGGATCTATAAAATGGCAGATTTAGTTTTTCCATTTTCTAAAGTTGACCAAAGACCACCCAAAAAAGATCAAGAGGTTACCCTTGACAATTTTTGGACTCAAAAATTTTTTTTAAGCTAGAAGAAAATGGAAAAAGCTAATCGATAAAGTTTTCCAAGGGGATGAAAGATATGAAGTCAGTTTTTCGATAACATCAATATTTTGAAAAATGGGTGGTAAATTCAAAACTGATCAAATAAAACTACCCCTCCAATGTTTCCCAAACTTTCCAAACTGATAAAGAACAATGCCAGGAATCCATTAATCCAGTTTTGGTTGCGCAATCTTAATTAGTTTTGGAGTTATTGACCATTTTTAATTATTACATAAGTGTTGATAATTGAAAATTTTAACATATTATATAATGTAAAATTTAATTCTACATAAGAATATGAAACCAGTTTTTCTTTATCTCTAATGGTTTTCCAGATAAGTGCGAAAAACTGGTTTATTCGTTTTCTCTATCATTTCTTAACCAAAACATAAAAATTGGAAATTACAACTTTTTATTTGCCAAATATAGAAGAAAATATGATTTTAAATACTTTATATTCATAAAATTTTGTTCTAAAATAAAACTTTTTGTTAATAATAGCAGTAACAAAGTTTGGTTTTCTCGCTATTCATTTCACGCCATTCTTTTATTAAAATTGTAAATAGGGCCTAAACGGGAAATGCTAGCCAAAAAAGTTACATAAATAATCGATATAGAATTAAATCATTTATCCGAATCCGAAAACAGAATTTAAAAATTTCAATTTTTAATTTCGAACATAAAAAAGCTAAATCTTTTCCCTTTTTTATAACAAAATCTTTTCGTTAAATGTTTTTATGCATTTTTGGTCGTTTTTCAAAAGGATGCAATCTTATAGAGAATTCTTTAAGGATCAAGAATACGAAGTCCTTTTTTCCGTAGCCCTTTTAGTTCTCGAGATTATTGCAATTTAAACTCGCCGGTTTCACTGGAAAAATTAAATAAAAAAGTCCGACCCTGTTGTTCGGCCGAAAACTTTTTTTGGAAAATAAGTTCGACTCTGTTCTTCGACCAAAAAAATTATAACACAAAAGTTTGACCCTGTTGTTTGACCGAAAATATATATCGGAAAACAAGTTCGGCCCTGTTCTTCGACAGAAAAATGTTTTTACAAAAAAAGTTCGACCCTGATGTTTGACCAATAATATTTTAAGAGAATTTGTTTGACCCTGTTTTTGGACCAAAAAAAATTGTTACAAAAAAGTTCTACTCTGTTATACTACCAAAAATAAAATTTACTGGAAAAAACAGCAATATTCTAAGAGTATTTTAACACACTTCCCTAGGATTAATTAAGTTAAAAGGGTATGCATAGTGTAGAGGAACTCTCGAACTTTAACATGACGTTGAGAAACTTTAAAAAAAACTAATTAGTTAACGAGAAACAGAGCGATTTCCACATGATGTTTTCAAAATATCACAAAATTGTCAACTTTTGATGAACATTTCAAGGCAGTTTCAAAGGGCTTAGATTGGTCAAATTAAATGTAACATAAAGAGGGTCTATTGGACTCTAATATGACGCTGAAAAACTTTAGGAAAGTCAATTAATTCAGGAGATACAGGGAATTGTCCACACTATGTTTTTGATTTTTTTCAAAAATGCTTATTTTTAAAGGGCATTTTAATGCACCTTTAATAGGGCTAGGAAGTTGAAAAGGCATTCATTGCATAGTGGAACTCTCCAACCCTGACATAGCAGCGAAAAATTTTGATAAAGTCTATTAGTTTACGAGATACTGGGTGTTTTATACACAATAATTTTATTTTTTTTGTATAATGCTTATTTTTAATGGGCATTTTAGCGCACTTCTAAGAGGGCTACGATGTTGAAAAGATATTCGTTGAGTAGTGGAACTCTCAATCTCTGACATAGCAGTGAAGAACTTTGGAAAAGTCCATTAGTTTACAAGATCCTGGGTGTTTTCATCACTATGTTTTAAATTTTTTTGAAAAGATGCTAATTTTGACGTGATAACGTCTTTAAAATCGTTTTACGGGTGACCGGTTCAGAAACTTGTGTCACGAGCGAGGTCGATCGCAGGTATACCCCCCTCTCGTTTTAACGAGAGAGAGACGGACCGATCTCCCGTCTCATCTCGAGCGCTGCCAGTCATTCCGTGCCAGTCATAGCGTTCGAGTGAGTTGACCAATCTTCCGTCTCTCTCACTCTAGCGGCATACAAGCGAATGGAGATTTTCTCGTGCGGTTAAGTTTTCGTTGAATGTTTTATCGGCCGATAAAAAGTTTGTACTGTGCGGGGAGCCTAACAGTAAAACAAAATGTGAAGTGCAAGTGAAGTGTTACAACAATTGCAACAAACAAAACTTATATCACCAATAAGACGTTATCACGTAAACATCTCGATCGTAAACCTACTTTACAAACAACCATTTTTTTAAAGGGTATTTAAAATTACTTGTGAAAGGATTAGATGGTTTGAAAGGCATGCATTATATAGAGGGACTCTCGAGCTCTGACATGCCGGTGAGAAACTCCAAAAAAATCAATTACTTCGGGAGATACAGGGCGTTTTCCACATCATGTTTACAATAGGTTTATAGGAGGAAGTTGAAAAAATAACGTATACATCACATCAGTAAACGTTGTTAATCTCCTACTTAGCGCCCTTGATACTTAATATATAATATTCTTATAATTTCGTTACTAAAACTCCTCAAAACTGAAAACTTTACACTTTTTCATCATAACAATATTCTTTGTGTACTTGCAAAGATTGAAATTGTTTGCATTTGTCTAAAAGTTATTTATGAAAAAGTTCCACTCAAATTTCTACGAAATGCAGAATCAAGCAAATGAACAAAGATGCGATAGCATTACTTGATACGGCATTTTTTGCCCTTCTGCAAAAGGCAATGAAACCCGATGGCACACTGGCTGCCAGCGAGTAGTTGTCGGAGAATCGTAAAAGTTTTCAATTCGGAATTAAATTTATACGACGCGACCCCGATGCGATAATAATATAAGCCAAGCCAAGTCGGAAAGAGGGAGCGGACAAGGCATGTCGTCGAGCAAAATGAAATTTTAATATCTTAGGGGAACAGTTACGCTTTAACGATTGCACGCGTCTTTACTTTTAATTTTTCAGGTGCAAATAATGCAAAATTAAATAAATTTTTATATTAATCCAACATTAATTACTAGAAACAATTTTTTTTACTTTTTGTGATGACAATTTGTGGTAATCAATATGTTGTATCTTTGCAGACGTGCCCGAACCGCCATCGGACTGCGTGATCCGAAATGCGACTCACGGCGGCGGTCTCGAAGTGTCGTGCACAGCGGGTCGCGACGGCGGCTTGCGGCAGTCGTTCGTACTGGAAGTGGACAACCTGTCTGGTTCGGGCGATGCTTCCGCCACAGTCGAAACGACGCTCAGCGACCAGGGCGCTGAAAACGCCACCCCCTTATACCGCGTGCTCGGCGAGACGCCTATCTTCCGGTAAGATGCAATCGCATAAGTCAATTGATATTCAACTGCAAGATTACAACCCATTTATCTCTATCTCCATGTTCTTTGCGTTGCAGATTGCACAGTTTACAGCCGGGACATGCCTATCAGTTGTTGGTCTACGCTGTGAACGCAAAAGGCCGCAGCAATCCGCCAGTGATGCTCACGAACATCCGCGTGGAGACACCGCTGGAAAATGGTAATTTACAAAATAAGATTATAATAATCACTATGTCATTAATAGCCTATTCAAATAATCGCAAATTACTTAATTGAAGATCCATATGCCTATATTAGATTTGAGGATGTTGTAATAGGGAGCATATAACATTCAATTAGCAATAATGGCCGCACTGATCAATTATCGCGTTGACCCCGTGTTCTCGTGTCCGGAGACATCCCCTCGCTTTTCACAGGCCGTATTATCAAATGCTATCAACTGCACCCCTTTTCTTTGCGTCGAAAAGACCCTCTGCTAATTTCCAACCAAACACTAATCGCTCATTTCCTTTCATACGTTGTAACCAGATATCTTGAATTTGTCAGGGGGGAAATACAAAATAATTCAATTAACAGCTATGAATTAGAACTAGAATTAAAGAGTCATCAGTAGATTACTATCACATGTTGTTTTAATTCTGTGCAGGATTATCAAGAGAGATGGTTAATTCAAGTTCAATTAATCTGACATTGGTGTTGGTGATATTAGCATCAGCAGCCATGTTACTTATACTTGGAATTGTCGTAGTGGCAAGTATATTGGTCTGTCGGAAACGACCGGAGGTTGTGATGCGACGAAGAAGCAGTCGACCGCCTGATGAATTGGAATTGTCGGAAGCTGGATTCAACGAAGGATTCCATCGGCGATCGGCGCAATATCGAGCGAGCGTGTACAATACCGAATTGGATAGAGAATTGGATGTTACGTTGAATTCTCAAAAACCACAAGGTACGTGTATTTTGAAAAATAAGACGAAAAAAGGATATAAATAATATTCATCTGTAATTTTCTTGATTGGGTTAGTTGAAATACTTTTTCCATCCGGTTCTATTACACATTCGTGTGATTGTGACCGCGGCAAAGCTCTGCTAAGTAGTATCAAATAGTATCAAACAACTATAAAACTTTTCCCGTCTTTTTGGACCGCCAGGGCGCTTGCCAACTTTTTCGCTTCGGGCAAAGTTTCCGTGACCAGTTTTTCGCCTAAATAGTTGTCAGCATTATTGCGGTCTTTTCTATTTCCTTGCGCCGTGACTTTCTTAACACGCTGCTGTTTTTGCGCGCCGCTTTTTCCGCCCGGCATTGTAGCTAATATTCTCACGAATTGCCCTCGCCGATTGGCTCCATTGGGGAAACTTTTATCATCAATTTTTTGTTCGTTAGGAGCCCGGCGCGAATAAATCCGGCGCGTAATTCGACGCGTAATTCTCACGGCAAATAAAGCGATTCGGCGCGCGATATCGACGGCTCTCGATGGCGCTGATCCGCTTGGCAAATACCTAATCGGAGGGATTTTCCACACCCTCACCCACCCACCCACCGCCTCTTCGTTCCGCATCGCAAGATGGGTATATAAATTAAAGGCGTGGCGTGGCCCGCTGGATACATTGAATTATTTATACTTTGCGATAATACTCTCCTCATATTCTCTGGATATCCGCTACGTTAATAACCAGCCAACGTTACAAAACAAACAGAAAATCATTTTTTATATTAATTTTATTCAATTAATAAAATGTGAATGTGTAAAATATTTTTTATATGTGATTTTATTATGTGGAGGCGCCGGGCATTGAAGGATCCCGATGGATGTCTACAATGTATGGTTTGTTTATATAGACCTGGTTTTTTCGGCAACGATTTGTGATCGGCAAATGCAATTTAGTGCTGAAAATGGAAATTTTATACCGACACAAAGGACAAGCTCCTCAAGGTGCTCGACCTTTTCCATGGAGAGCTTTGGTTTTTTACCTCGTCTTCTACTTCCGGCCTAACCGGTAAAGCTTCCACTTTAAAGCATTTTCTATTCAGTGCGTCATCAGGTTGACTTTATAGAAGGCAGCTAAAAGCACACGACCTAAATATTCAACAGATGTCTCATAGTTTTCAATTTTCTAGAATAAATTTTAATAAATATACGTTGAAGTTATTAAATAAATAATTTATCTGGAATAGTTGTCTTGTAGATACAATTTAGGTAAATAAATGTCTTTGATTCGTAGGTCAAATACACGCAGCGGACGCAGCTTTATCTCGGCATAAACACACAAACGCAATGCGCATTAAGGTATTTACGTTTGGGGCAGTAAATCACGGCCGGCCGAGCGAGACGGGCCATCCGCAGTCGTGGGCTCGAAATGAAAGGGCACGTTTATGCCGAAAATGGATCGGTCTAAATCTTTCAGGCCCAACCAGCGTCGGTTGGACCTTATCGATGCGGAGCGGTTCGGCTTTTGCGGCTTTGTATCTGCTAATTCGAGATACCAAAAGCCTACAAAATTGTAGAGAAAAAAAAAACAGTTTTTCGTAAATATTTCCTCAACAAATCACATAAAAATTTATCAATTCAGCCAATTTTTTGTATAAAAGCTCAATATTTGAATGAATTGATGTCTCAATCGGTGGAAGAATGTAAAGTCATGTTTTGACACGCACCTCCCAACAGCGCACACGGCAGTCATAAAATGAGTGCATGCAGTTATGAAGTTATATTTCCACCCGGCTGCATTTGTGTCCGCGCCGCCTATGCATTATGCCGCTAATGTGTACTCTTCCGCCGTGCACATTCGTATACATGAATGCATGAATGCGTCCCAATTGAGAGGTGCGCTCGACTCGCCTACGCCGTTCACGAGGTTATCGCCGATCGAGTAATAACCGCCGCTGATCGCGCCGATAACGGTGGTGCTGTTATTTGAAAATGGAGGCCGACAGCCGCCGCCTCCACATGCGGGACATGCGAGCAACACCTTTTGCGTAAACTTACATAGAAGCAATACAATGCAATTATTGCTTATTTTTTATGTTTTAATTTTAATATTAATAACAATAACAATGAATAAATAAAAAATACGTTGTAATATTATGTAGAAATTTAGTTAAAAGGTATCGTTTGGTTAAGATGTTCTAGTGCTGAATTAATAGTGTTTTAATTGCGTTATAGCCCGGCGCCTCCACTTGGCGCATGTGGGAGCGCATAATGCAAGATAGATTTAAATTTATGCACACTTATAATGCATATACAGCGTTGCACACAAGTGCCGCGTGTACGTACAGCAAGTTAATGTCTTTTTTGCGGCCCGCGCGCATTAATTTTCATGTTAAACACCTGTCATTTGTTCAAGCACCCGCGCACGCCATTTGCGGATTAATTTTGCAGCCGTACCGCTTGCAAGTGAGCTTTCTTCGACGTCATAAAGTTTAAATTATAATTTATTCTGCAGTTATTTTTATCAATTTTTTAAATTTCATAGTAGTGGTATTGGTATGGCGGCGTTAATAACGCAATAAAGCAATAAAACACGATTTTTGTGCAAAAATCGCCCGCTTGAACGCTAATCTCGTTTATGCAACAACATAATTCCCGCTTTGCAGCGCACGTTCGGGCGAATATGTACGGCTTAAGCTCCCGGTGCGATTAAAGGAACGCTGGTACTTTTTGTGCCAGGGACATATTCAAAAAAGGATTTAAAAGAAAGTGGATTAGAGACGCCGCCAACGCGACTAAAGCTTTTCTCTGTTTGCAGGCCCGGATTTGATCCTCAGCCCAGTGAGCTTCACCCAGCAGAACGCCCAATACTGACCCTTGTAGGGATTGGTTTAATCAAGGACCAAACGAAATGGCAAGTGAGGATTTCATGAAGTGAAACAACCTCAGATCAAAATTAAGCATAAAAAGTAAGATTTGTAAATAATTATTGATTAAGTAGGTATGTTAGATTTTAATTTATTGGACTGACAGATTTAATGAACCATAGAAAAGTATTATTGTATTATTGCCTAAGTTTCATTCCAAAAACACACAAGAAAACAACGCACCATATTTTTATTTTTGTCTGGAAACTCTATACCACGTACACTCTTTAAAAATATTTATGTTAATGTAAATAAAATATTTTTAAGTATTTTAAATTGTAAAAACATGTCTGTGTGTTTTCAAAACATGTTCGTGAATTAATTAGGTATCGATAAAATTCTAAAAATTGAAGCGCGCTAGAATACAATAAAGCGATTGTAGAACGGTGTAAAAACAACGTCTCGCCGTCAGAAAAGAATAATAACATCCACGTTAATTACCACTAAGCACGAACTGTTTTGTAAGCGGCCTACACCGAACGTGCCGTGTCATGCTGAGGAAAAGATGATTTCATGAACAGATTTTAAAGCCATCGGAAAACATTGTAAAGTGGTGGGCGCCCAGCGCCTCCACAATATAATTTACTGTACAATGTGTAAATTATTTTCCACAAAGGAAAATTGCCATATAGCAAAATAATTCAAGGAAATTTAACTCCATATGTTAAAATTATTGCGGTCTAAAGTTATGAACAACTTAACATCTGCGACGAAATGTGTCCGCTTTGCTCAAACCACAATTTCAACAAAATTCACTTCAAAACTTCTAAATTACAATAATTAAATAATATTAAAGGTTAGTTATAATATAATACATTAATATTTATAGTTTATATTTGAGTTAAAGAAGTACTTGAAAGTGTCTGAGGACTTTATACACTTGTACTCGAAAATTTATGAATATTTGTACGTTTGCGTCGGTTTGCAATGCGAGATTGAAGATTGTCGAGCTGTTTGCTCGGTCGGATGCTTCAGTAGAGCATATGTGTGCCGGCTGCTGCCACCACCGCCACCGCTGAATATGAACCTAGTCGACACACATACACATATGCTCACTGGCGGCCGCAGTCAGTCGCCGAGAAAGACATCCAGCAGGTTCGCGCGCGCCACAAGTTCGTTTCGGTGCGCCGCGGGCCATTCGGGCGACATATTTTCCGAGCAGAACGCGATTGTGCTCCGCCGCCTCCCCGCAAACCGCGCCTAGACCCGGCTGAATTGTCGGCTGCATTACTACACTGTTACAATGCGCAAGAACAATTATTTCGCAAAAATAGTGGTTTAATTTAAGCTATAATTTTACGTTGCGTTTCGATCTCATTACCCGATGTGTACATAAATAATTAAACGCAGAGTAGATAAAAATTGCGTTGTATGAACTAGCCTAGCATGAGTGGTTTAACTTGTATGGTAATATAAGCAATAATTTGTTTAAACTAATGGCCCTTATTAAATATGTAATTTATTTTGTTAAACGGGTTTGTAATGCCATTGGAAAAGGGTTAAACTCACACATTGAGTCACAAATTATAGTTTTATTAATTTTATGTAGACATGCCATGCGAAAAAAAATCTAAAAATATTATAGGCAACCAATCATACACGCAATATGCTATTTGGGTTGCCAAAACGTGTAAATATTTTATTTTGACAAAATGTGCCAATATTTATTACATTAATTAATATTACATGGACTAAACTGGGATAAACTGTATTAGAGTAATAATTTTAGGTTAAGTATATATGTAGGTATTATTTTAGTGCAATATATTTAACTATATTATTCTGATTTAATCTGAACTGAAGCAAATAAATGAATATTAATTTTTTGATTACACCCTGTATATGTGTGTTCTATTAAAATGTAACTGTGCATATAAAATGTTCACATCCGCGCGGCGTGCATGCAGTTTTATTACGTTTATTACGTTTTAACGGCGATCGTTTAATACTTATATTAAAACGCGAAGCAAGAAAAAAATCGTTATAAAAATGAAAAGAGCAAACGACGGAAATTAAAACTCCGAATGGTTCTTCACCTTTTTCCGACGTCGCGAATTTTTTCCCTCCACGTTTATACAGAAATCGCACCGGAACGTGTGTCCTGTGTCAAGGATATAAAGCACAATCGTCCTCACAGCAAAGAAATTAAAATTTTTATGTGCGTAGGATATTAAAAGCAAACAAGATGTTGCGGAAACGTTTTCGTTTTTTTATTGGTAAATGTTTAATTTTGACGATAAGTTGATTTTGTCGTGTGGAAAAAATTGCGAGAATTGTGCAGTTTTTATTGAACGCGTTTTATTTTTTTCTTACGGAGAATTCTCGGCGTTTTTGGGGATGAGCGCCAAGGTGCCGTTTGAACAAATAAACAACATTAATCATAAACAAACAGCGCTCGGCAGCAATGATAATAAACGCTTCGGGTCGTTTGGCTTTTCAAATTAAGCCGTTTCTGCATGGATGCATTCGAATGGATATTAAGCATAAATTTACAGTTTAATAACGCGTTTTTTCTTTGCGTCGATATTATCTGGACTACGCTTTATTTAAATTTATTAATTAGGTTTTTTATTGAACGAGTGTTTCCATGTTCCTGCCAACCTAATTCATTGTCCGACATTATCCTTGCTGCGCTGCATTTTGGCGTGACGCCGTAAACTACTCGAAACGACAATTCGCTGAATGGCCATAAAAATGACTGCCACTTTTACTTCGCTCAACCTTTCCGGGCGAGCATAAATGCCCTTTCTCGTTGTCCGACGTACGTCCGCACGTAATGTCCGCCATGTTCTCGCCGTAAAAAAGCACATCGTCCCTTTTATTTGTTCTTCTTTTATGTATTGTTTATTTGTTGCCGGCGGAGCCCACACATTCATTGCCATCGGCGAGGACAACAAGAACGCATAAAGGATATCGACGAGATCAATTGCTGTAATTGATTAAACAGGTATTTATTTATCCTTGACCGGAGACGCAATTTGATTAAAAATACGAATTTATTTCGCCCACGTTCTGGTTTTGAGATATTTATCACCTCGACAGGCATGAAGAGCTCAAAAAAGTCCTCCTCTTAAATATATAAAATGTTGACAGAGTATACTTTATCTTCGGTGCGAAAAAATATAGCGTCGTTAGATACATTAAGGAGCATTTAAAATTTTAATCGCCAACCACAAAAAATCTCCACGCGTAAAAACCACACTGCACATTCACGCGGAAATTTCTGCGCGTGACATTTTTGACAACCATATTTTATTTCGCCCTCGAACCAACTAATACCACATACACTTAGAGTGTACTTTTTATTACGTTTGAATTTTTATTTGTTTTTGATGTCATCGCCGCGCTTGAGTTCAATATTAATACACTGGCGTGGCAAATATTTATGTCTCAAGTGGCTGGATGGCAGGCGGATTGTCCGCCGGTGAAATTATTCATGTTTTGCGTGCGAGTCGCGAGCCGCGTTGTGTTTTCATCGTTTCGCGTGGTGGAGGCGCATAGCATAGCGTGATCGCAACAAATGTTAAAGTGCTTGTAACGAAACGTTGTACACGCCGGAGTGCCCTCATGTTATTTTTATTTTAAATTACACTTTCGGATTTTCTCCTGCTTCGCCAAACCCTTACGAAACGCAATACGCGGCGCATGCAAAGAGTTGAAACAACATTTATATAGCCCACTACGCAAACGATAAAAATTGCGGCGCGGAAAACTAAAGTTTTGTGAGCTTGTTGAGGTGTACTGTGTTTTTGTTGGGTAATCAAAGAATGTCGGAACGCTTTTTCTAGCCTTCTACGAGTTCCGCTGCTTCGGAACACTGATTGTCGAACAACTTTGCGTACGTCTAGCTATTAGTGAGTGAGAAAAGTGTTGTTAGCCGTTTGCTATTATTTTGTTATTATTTCGACAACTACAATTTGAGCACTTTTAGTTGATGGTTGCGTTTAGTTACGTGTGGTTCTATTTTTTTCAAAGAAACACAAATATTTTCATTTGAAAAACATTTTTTTCAGACATAAATATTTTAATATGATAAAATCAATATCGTCATTTTTTTATTGTCTTACAAAAAACAATGAAAGTAAAAAAGAATGGCATTAAGAAAATAACGAAAGTAATATAATCAGATATGTCTATCTCTCGCTGAGAGAGGTATATTTAAGTATAGAAACGAGCGACCATTATCAATGTTAATGCGTTTTCATATCCGAGGTTTCCGGTTAACTAAGTCCCGTATTCTCGACTCTAATCCGCGTGGGCTAATGTTGTAAAGGGAAACATTAAATTTGCATAATTATTATAAGATGTTGAAATAATAATGCTCCCCCAAAGGCCGCGCGCGCGACGACGACGCACGGGTTGGAAAGAAACGAGGAAAGAAAATCGCTCGTCGTCGATTTTCAGCGCTTTCGCCGCTTCCCGCTTGTTTTTCTTGTGTTTTTTCAAGCGTGCACGCTTTGTTTTATCAATTTTGTTGAATTTAATGTTGTCTTAGCGTTTTTAATATCCACGTCTAAATAAAGGCATAACATTTTTACATTAAAATAGATTTGTTTGAATTTGCAATGAGATACACTAAAAGTCAATTATTGTTTCTTTTATTCACACCCGCAATGAATGAGGATGGTTTTAAGCGCGAAGCGCTGAGCTTGATTTAAGCTAGGGCAAGTGTTTTATTTCAATCAATTAACTGGACGCGACTCTTCCATTCGCCAGAGTTTCGAGTCGTTTATACGGCTCTGCGATTTTTATTTCGCTTTATTTTTTTGCGAATGCATTCTTCCGTCCCGGCGCGCGTAAATATATTACGCTGAAAGAATGAAGATTAATATTGGCACTTTGGCGAATGCTTAATTATGCCCGCTTTGAAAAGTGGTAAATTTACGAGTTTACTTTTTAATTCCCCGATGGTGCACACGAAACAATTGCTAATTTTCGCACCAGTGCGGCGACAGGTGGCGGAAAAAATAATTTACGCAAATATTTATAGTAGGAGCATAAAGTTTGAAAAATTACGGTGGTTATTTTTTATTAGTTCATTTCCAGCCTTTTATTCTAATTAATTGTGGATAAATATGCAAATAAGTGAGTTTATGTTGATTTTTATGTAATTTTTATGCCTTTGAAGCTGTAAAATCGAAAATTATTTATAAATAAATAATTATATGTAAAATACTGTAAATAATAACAGTAATATTTATGCGTGTGTATTTTATAACTACTTTAACAAATTTAATCTATAATATATAGATTTTTTGATTTGTTATAAAATTGAGTATTGAGTATTTTCAAATGTTTGTGTTTTATGTGCAATCTCACTTTATATTTCTTGGTGAGTAGTATTGCATTGCATTGGAAGTAAGTCAAGTAAGAAAAAAACAACAAGTCATACGTTCAGTCGTTATGTTTCTCTGTTTTCTTTGCGTATTGCAGACACTGCACACGTATTACGCAGTACGTTCCACGCTCCTGCATTCGCGTCACGCCTTCCTGCCTGCCCGGCGCCTCCACCGCCGCCCAAGCGAGGACATCGATTTTATATGGGCAAACGTTAAAACGAAATTGCCTCCTTAACGACCCATATACCGATATACGATATACACGCGCCCGCCGCCCAATATCCTATCCGGCTGTAACGCACTCTAAGTGGGACAATTTATTGTTATGCTAAGAACACACAATGCTCGCGCAACTTGCACGACAAATAAAAATTCGAAACAATTTCGAAAGTTTTACGTTTCGATGTATAATCAAGAAAAATAAAATTTAGATCAAATAAAAATAAATTTAAATAAAAATCTAATTTTATAAGATTAAATTTAAAAAGAAACAAAATACTTAAAAAAAAAAATTTATTTTGTGAGTTTAACGTCTTGATATCTTGGCAATTTGTCATTGAACCCAATCGTTTAATTTAACCCAACCGCGATATAAGATGTGTCACGGCTTAAGTTATCTCCCAGCTCGACCGATGTCGTGACGACAAAGCCATCGCATTTACAAGCTCACGCCGACTGGACAGAAAGCAGGACACTGAACCTTTTCACAACAATTTCACACATAACAAAATCAAAATAATCAAAACCCAAAAAAAATTAATTCTTGTCTGTTGCCGTGCAAAATTACTAAATTTGCAATTAAATTAAGATTTTCCTATTCCGGCTGACAGTTGATAGGTTCATTGCAAACTTCCACTTATCAAGTCGAGACAACATCCCTCGCAAGACGGGGAGCGCTGCTGGAAGCAGAAGTTTCTTCTCTCGTCCTTGGTCTTAGCGTCGGATGCTCCACGGTTGACGGAAGGACGAAGAGATAGAGGCATCAGGCACGTGGCGTGGCGTGACGTGTGTGGAACGCGTAATTCACGCGTGCACCCCTGTCACATCCCCCAGGCAACCCCACCGCGCCAAACAGCCACCGCCGCCAACATGCAATAACACTTACCGGTTCAGGTGTCGCATAAATATTTAAACTCACCGGCGGAGATTGAGGAGCTCCCTTGAATCATTCAAAAAATAAAAACAATAATTATCTCATCATATATACAAGTAAATTGATATTTTTTGTTTTATATAAAATCATTTTATAGAGTAAAAAATGTGGTGGATATAATAATGTTGTTTTTGTTTGAAAATTCTTTCTTATCTTAGCAATTCCGACCGGATGCACGTTCCGATTGTCGCATAACTTCATTGCAAGTCCTTGGCGTAGCAAATCCTCCTGGCTACGCGCATAACTCTTCCTGTTTACGACACTTTATGCGCGAAACGCTGAAATTCATGCATTTCCGGCGGGGTATCATAACTTCAGTTCTGCAAGGATGGACTTGCAGGA